TTTTTTTTCTTCAGTAAGCGAGACATTAGGAGATAGGGGTTTCTAATGGAAATACTGATAGGACCATAGCTATAGCAGCAACAGTAGACATTGCTTAAATGCATGGAAACAAATAACCCTTTCTCGAAGGGGCGTCTGAATTCCAGCAGATTGTAATTATCTGCTCAGACAGATTCAGAAGGCAAAAAAATAATGATATAAAGAAACCTTGGATTAAAATATATATGCATGCTGTAATTTTCAGAAGTTTTAGTTTCTGCCTGTGGCAGGTAGTAAGCAAAAGATAAGGCAGAAAATAATGAGCTTTTGTTATTTATATCTGGAGTTTAGAAGAGACGCATTGGGAGTGAACAAACGATTTTCCGTAAAACAAAGGCAACGGTGAAGTAATTCTCTGCAGGAAAGAAAGAAGGTGAAGGGTGTTACACGAACACTCGGTGTAGGCTTAGCCTGAACTCTGCCAAACTGCAAAGTTTTAAAACATCTCATCTAGCAGGATTCAGCATTCAGCTTTTTATAATGACATGTAAATAGGTACCTATAAAATGTAACATCACATTCAAAGTCAGCACCCATATTTTAAAGGAGTGACTTCATGGACGTTTGCTCTGTTTACTGCATTCGCTCTGTCTGCTTTCGCCCAAAGCATCTTGGCATTCATTTCCTCTCATTCAGAACCCGCATTTCAACTCACAAGGCAAATAACGTAAAGTTTCAAAGGGATCAGCAAAGGTGGCAATATACCCATACCCTTTCTGACTTCAGGAGTTCGGTTCAGATCTCCTTTGCTTCAGATAAATCAAGATTAATGTCAGCAGTCAAATGAGCTAATCAGAGATACAACAGTGCAAAATGAGATCAGAGGACCTCTTCAGTGATGTTGCAAGGGTGTCAGAGAGATCAGAATCTGGCCTTCAAGAGCCCAAAGCTGAGAAACAGGGACACTTTGTTTGCTTGAAAGAACATATTGGATGGTTTCTTCTGGTAGGAGGCAGGAGACAGAGGCCTACAAGCAAGAATTTAGGCTAATGTAGCAAAGTATATAATAGGTAAGAATAAATTGTATGCAGCCATTTGACTGTTTTCCCCCTAAAATATGAGTGTTTATGCAAAACACGTGGCTTTAAGTTTGCTGACAATCAAAATGGAATCATCACACAAGTCGGGTAGCGGATTCTCACAGGAACACTTGAACCAAAATACTCTCTGTAATAATTTCCCACTTCTGAGTTGAATAAATTAATTGATGAACTTCCCATGAATAAGTTTTACCATTTTCCCCCTTGTGTGCTTTGTTGATATCTATACACATTTAGCAAGAAATAACGGAGCCAATCCCATCTGCAGTAAAAGAGCAGTTCTCTGGGCCTTGGGGATCGTTCTAGACAACTGTAGCTTCATACACAAAGTTAAAAGGAAACGCAGCGTATCATGTACAACCAGTATGTGGTACCAAAGGAGAATCACAACAGAGAGCAGTAAAATAATGGTGCAGGCTCTCAAGTTTGGGGAAGTTTGAGATATCTCCATGAGGTACTCCTGGATTTGATTTCATGGATTTCGTAGACATTAGGGCAGGGAGGGACCTTGAAAGACCATCAGGTCCAGCCCCCTGCCCGAGGGGCAGGAAGTCAGCTGGGGTCCGATGACCCCAGCAGGATGATCATCCAAACACTTCTTGAACATGTCCAGAGTAGGTGCTTGAGACACAGTAGTAGGGCAATTGTAGACTGTATTTTTCCTCCATCTGAGGTCCTGTCTGACCAGTCTATCTGTGCACTCCACCTATTTCAATATAGGTAGCGCCCTTAAAAGGTAGCTGCTTCTAGATGAAGAATAAGGTGGTGATCTGAGTAAGACAAAAGGAAAACTCAAGGAAAATAAAATGTTTCCATGGTTTTCTTGAGAAAGATGAAAATGTGTAAAAGGACTGGCAGAGCTCTGTACTGCAAAGCCCCATGCTGTAACTGGTACCATTCTAGCTTAATGCCAGAGAGAGTCAGTTATCCGAACGTCATTACCCAAATGCAGGACATGTCGCCAGCCTGTGTGATATGTGGTAGTAGTGAAAGCTTGGTGACTAGAAGGACACAAACTGTTTGTGTTTGTGTACATTATGCATCTAAATGAATTATATTGTATTATATTAAACTGAATACTGAATTTATGATCCTGTTCTGGTCCCGGTGAGTTCAGCTACTTGACTCTTTTCTGTATTTAGAATATAGCAATTCTTACATTTCCCCTCATCCCTCCACCTACCCCATCATGCAGGTAGGTAACTTTGTACAAGAATAGCTAATCATGCGAGGAAGTTACTCACATGTTTAAGTTTTTGCAGGATTGGGGACTTCACTTGCAGCTGCCTTATTCTTACAGAGTATGTTTCTATTATACACCTTCCCTATTTTAATCCACCTCCGGTTTGCTCATTAAGATGCTGGGTTGCCATTTCTGCTGGTGGGTAAGACAACCCCACAAAAGTTTCCCTAAATGAAGCTATCTTTCTTTCCTTAACTAAGTGAGATAATGGGTTTGAAATGGGTCTCAGCATCTTAAAGATAAATAAGTACTTGAATTATAATTGCTAATGCTAAGACACATCATTTACATTTATTATACATAATAAAATATGTAATTAATTGATGTTTTGTAATGGATTAAATCATCAACCCCAGCTGCAGAGGAAAGATTTATTACTGTATTCTCAGTAGCATCTTGAAGATGGGAGACAAGGAAATTGAATCAAGGACTCTTCCTTTTCCCGCTAGGCTGCTAGCGTCGTTGTTGTGTGTTCTGGGGAAACGTCTGAGATAAAGCAATTGTGTTTACGTCTTTTTCGTAAAGATGAAAAATAGGCACATCCAGTTCCCACAGTCATTCGCAAACCCAGCAGAGGAAACCGCAAGCTGAGCTAAGCCGCCTGCCTGTGTGTGTCCGTGCATTTTCTAAATCAGAAGGGTAGAACATCACACAGGGCGCACAACCACCAGGACGCATTGACGTTCAAAATGGGCCGGGGAGATAATGTCAACAGAATAGGATGCAGTTGCAGGATAATGGTCTCCTGCTGCTAGATTAAAGCCTGGGCAAAGCTGAGCTCTTTTAACCAAAATAAACAGAGGCAAAGCCAAGACATTACAGTACTTTCAAAGGAGGAGGCATTTATCTTGCAATAACATCCTGTTCCATTCTCTCTGCTTTCATTGTACCAGAATATTAGAGGAATGTGCTGTCATTTTGTTCAATGGGGGTAGCTCCAGGAGCTACAGTGGGCCACTGCATTCTGACTGGTTAGTGTTACTGCCTTATAGTGTCACATCCTTAAGCCTTTTGATATGCCTACACATTTCAAACCATAGCATGTCCCTGCAGATAGGTCTTCTTTTAAAAGGAGACAAGTTCTGAAATAAAATCCAAATGTAAGGGAGAGGTTTTGCCTCTGTGACACTGTTTACAGCCTGCACAGCTTGGAAGATGGAGATGCAGACACTGGTGACCCAGAGGCAAAACCTCCCCCTGCGTGAAATCTAACAGCCCCTATTCCGGTAAAATTGCTTGAGAAAAGTGGCTGAGTTTAGCATATCGATTTCTGAGTGAAACAATGCTCCAAGCTGGTTAATTTCTGCTTTCCAAAGTTGCTTATTTGTAACTATAATAATAAAGTAATCAACACCCACCCCGCCCTTCCCCCCAGCAATAGTGCTGTCTGATAAATTTGAGGCCTTTTCCTCATACCTCCTCCAAGTGAGGTCTACTGTGCGTGTGACAGGACACTTCTTCCTGATGTCATGCTCAACATAATCTCAAAAAAAAAAAAACTACAGAGGGGGGACAATTGTAAAGACACTCTCTTAGAAGGAAATCACTCATAAAATATAGTGCGCGTTCATGGAGTAAAATACAATACAACCCCTGCCCTATTACTCTTTTAACGGCCCCAAAAGCAAGAATTGGACTTTTTTCATTATTATGGTAGAGCAAGGGCATGTCTATTCTTTGGAACAATAATTTCTCCATCTTCCCCCACTTAATGCCAAATCTTGTACAAGCCTCCTTGCCCTAAAGAAGTTGAATTTTGACCTTAAAGGCTAAACGCAGATAGTCAAAAAGCCTGAGGCTGAATCGGTTCCGTCTTTCCAAGTTCATCTAAGCTGCATAGATTGAACCACTAAGCAAGTGAACAGACATTCACTTTTGATTCCAGAAATGCGGCCACATGCCTGCAGTAGCCCAGGCCAGAAGTGTGGGGGGTGGGGGGCAGGGAGCACTAGCTAGTGTTCCCTCTAACTGCTTAGCTGTGCAGGTGCACTCATCCCATGCTGCCAGGTGTGCCTGCATGGCCATGCACGACACACAGCTTAGAGGGAACACTGGCACTAGCCTGCCCACCTGCAAAGGGGGGCTTGCAGAGGAGGTGCAAAGCATCCTGGGATGCTGGCAGACTGTGAGTTAACTTGAATCTGGAGGGGATCTGGGACAGAAGTTAAATGAATCGACTGAAGCTAAATCAGGTAAGTCTGACACTGTATCATCCAGGTTTATCTTAAACCAGTTGTGGCCTTTTTAAAAGTGGTTTATGTGCACTGAACTTCTGTTGTGTTACAGATTTGAACTGGTTTCTGATCACTTGTACCAGTTTATGTATAATTTCTGTCCCTAGCCAGAGACAACCTATAACCCCATCAGTGCAAGTTTCCAGGGAAAATCTGAAGGGAATAGAGAAAAGTACTTTATGATACTTAAGACTTGCTTGTCTAATAAAGTTATTCCATTTCTGGGTTGGGTTACAGGCTGGATGGTTACTCAGTGTTTGTGGATAGTAATTTTAAACAACAAGGGAATCCGCAGTAATTTTCATGAAATGTAAAATGAATTACTAAAACTCCCTCATAGGAGCAATGAAGTCTCCATACTGCAGGACTTCATTTATTGGCTTCAGAGGCTATATGCTTCCTTTGAAGTGCTGAATGCCCGTTCTTTCTTTCTTGCAATTACAGTGCAAGCTGGAGTTCCACGCATGTACTTCTGGCAAAACTATCTCAGCACGATGTGAGGGGCCCTGCCCGTGCCTTCCAGGACAGGACCGTCCAAAGCACAAGGCTGAGAAGGCAGGTGAGTTCAGCCATTGTCTGATTTTCTGATTTTCTGTTTATTTCTTTGCTCTCTGGAAATCTCAGGAAAGAAGTTTGCTTATTTGAAGCATTTTGGACAAAGTTCTTGTTTGAGGAAGTGTTAAGGAAGTTAGTTAGTTTACTAGTTCATGAATAATCACTACAAATTCTAAGTTGCTTTCTAAGTGAACCTTCAAAAATCTTAGCTGCAATAAAACTAACACCCACATTGTGGCTACCGTTGGGGAATTGTGCTGTAGCCGATCTTATTGTTGAGTGAAAATACTAAAAATATTAAGTTAAAACATTGGCCAATCATATTTGAAGATATAAAAATGATAAAATATGTGAGATTATTGCTTTCTAAAGACAATCTCCCTTCCTAGCAGTACCAGTTGCTGAGTGAGTTATATTGATATATTCAGAAAAGAGGTATGAAGTATTGAATGTGGAAGCAAGCATTTGAAGTTTGGCAGATAATATTCCAGTAGAATAAAAGACTGATACTTAATGCCCATAAATAAAAAACCAGGAAGAATCTCCTCTCCTCTGACTGCTTATGTAAAATCTGTATGTAGGTTTGAAGGGATCCGCATGGGCTAATTAAGCCCTCTATTTACCCATGGTAACAATCCTGAGCCACCTAGAAACGACCTAGTATGAAGGAAAGCTGCACTTGCAAAAAGAATTTGAAACCATCTCTGTAACTGTGGAACAGGAAGGGCCCAATGCATAGTCTAGATAAGGTCTCTCTAACCCATAGTGCCTTTGCTGTGATCGCTAACAAGGAACCCAGATGTGGTTCATGCACCTGTATGGTAGATACTAGATTTTGGACTCCTGATGCTCTATTCATACCACACCTCTGAAAAACCAGTGAGAAGTGGCCACAGCAGGACCAGCATTAAAGCTTCCATGCTTCTCACAACAAGAGCTCGTGTGATATAGAGCGGCTTGGCTTTGGTGGGTTTATATGCATGAGACCTGGTAGTAGTAGATCTCAGTGGGCATGTCTGCATGTTCATTAATGCACCATAGTTAGTATGCATTAAGTTCAAGTACTAAATTACTGCACACTACTGCACAGTAGCCTAATAATACTGCACAATAGTGTATTAGCACTGTTTATGGTGTGATGTGCAGTATTATTATGCTTCTGTGCAGTTAGCTTCTCATGTAGAAATGCCCACTTTATATCACCAAGATGTATCCTCACTATATCCATTCCACCCTAACATTTCTTCAAGAAAAATGCCAGACAACCAGATCCTAAAGTACTTTCTCTTACCCAGGCTGACCCTGTTTGAAGTCAGTGGGAGGTTTGTTTCCAAAGACTATAGAATTTGTCACACAAAACTAGTGTAATTTCACTGGACTTGCACTCCTTAATGAAATTCCTATTTGTGAAGGGTTTTTTAATGTATTGACAGTTTTTCAATACTGTAAAATAAAAATGAAATGATCTAGAAAGATTCATTTTCCATCTAGATCAAAGAAGCAACATTCTCTAGCTAGGATTTTGACAGTCTAGCGTTGTTCCTTCTTTTGGAAGTCATCAGTATGACTTAGATGATCAAACAGATGAAGAAGTTTCGATAGCAAGGGTCTGTAATATTGTATATGGCTTTAATATTACTTTACAAGGCGGTTGGTATCTTTTCATGATAAATTGCCTATTCACAGTTTCACTCTCACTCAGACACACCCACCCACATACTTTTCTTCTCATAATCTGCTCCCTATATGACCTCTTTGTTGCCCTTATCAAATGTAGTATCAAATTAATAAATTGTCAGTGACATTTTAGGCTTTCAATTTCATTCAAACAACCAAAAAATTCTAATAACCCTTATCTTGATCAATCCAAGTTGACAGGATGGACATATATTTCTGAAGCCCAGGCTCTTGTTTTGACTCCATTTTTTTTTTTAACTGCACCATGCAAAGCATTATCTTTTGGGATTGGGTGACCCAATGCAACTGCTTTCCTGGATGGTGCTTCCTGATGGCAAATTTGAGCTTCATGGTGCTCCTGCATTTGAACTGGTGAATTGGAGATAGTGGTAAGAACAAAGGGCGTCTTCTGGCTCTCTGGTTAAACCAAGTTCAGGCAAGATATTTGTGTGTAAATGCTACTTTTGCTGTGTCGATACCCATTGGTTTGTGGGCATAAGTGCTAAAGTCATGTTTTCTGCTTAGGCCAGATTTTGACCCTGCCCAGTCTTATGTAATTTGCTGAGCAGTCGTTTAGTATTGTAAGCATACCCTTTGTACATTCACAAACAAACAGGTCCTGAAGGGACATGAAAAATTTGCTCCAGCTAAAGACACAGGCAGAATTCTCCATGAGAGTCACCACTGGCATCATAATTTGAATTAAAGATTATACAGTACTCTGTGACAGCTGCTACTAGATCACGATATCTTTGGGTGACAGGTTAAACAGATGCTTTCCTCTTAAGCTGACATGAGCTGTGAAAATTAGCTAGTAGAGACAACACTCTAGGTGGTGCCTTGTCAGTTATAGCTGCCTACATTGTTGGTCTTTACTGTCCGAGGATCCTGATTCTGCAGCCAATCAATACGCAGACCTTCATTGTGCATTCGATAAGCAAAATGGGGGCAGAATCTGGCCACGTGTTTATAAACTCCTGGGCGCCTCTGCACATGCAAAGAGGCTGCTCTGACGCACTGTTACAGATTAATCAAGTCTGCTGGAATGTGATCATTACCGCACTCCAGCATCATGTGTATCAGCGTCCCTGCTCTGAAAAATGGTGGCATCAGCGCTTTAACGAAAGCTCATTCAATGAGCTTTAGTTAAAGCGCCCCCACGCCCATTTTTTCAGCGTGGGGATGCTGATACACGTGACGCTCCAGGAGCTTTAATTAGAGCAGCTCCTCTCCCCTTCCCCCCACCCAGAGCATGTGCATAAAGGGTTAGGAGGCTAAGCTCCATGGACTTTATTAGATATATACCCCCAAAAGAATTTGGCTCCAAAGCTCAAACGATCAAATGTCAAAGGGTACGGTCTAAGTTTGTGTATCTTACATGTTCTTCTGAACCCCTCAACATGCCTGTTATATACCAATTAAGTCTTCCTTGGACTGACTTATACTTGGGCTCTTGACATGACCTTTGCACTTGGCCTCTTGCATGTGCAAGAATCTTAGACCAAACGTTGAGGTGCTCTCAATCTTTAAGCAAAGAGCTCCCACAGGTGTTCCCTAGGAATGTTACTAAAACCCATATATCAGTATGCGTCTGCAACTTCAGTAGAATTAATTAAAAAAAAAAAAGTTTGCATTGCCACCCTACCCAAATCCTTGGCTGGAGGTTAGTCAGACCCACTCAAGTTCATGTGATTATATTACTTTTTAACTACTGATCCCAAAAAAGTAAATCTGAGTACTGTTACATTTCCTGAAGGTTATCTTTTACCTCAACCGACAGTTACGTGTTTTTCAAGGACTATTCCCTGAGTTGTATTCAAGCAGACAGCTGAGAGATCTACATGGCCATGACACACAGTCTGTCTGGTCACAAAATCAGCAGAGTGCAAAAAAATTGAACTTTTGTTTTCTCTAGATGAATGCATGTTTTCAAACCTCCAAAAGGCCTCAGTCTGAGTTATCAGTTAAGGCTCTGGTTGATTGTTATTGTTTTATTCCCCCATCCCTCATCATATCAAGAAGTCGTCTTTGCTTTTTCCAAGATATTATCTTTCTTTGAAGAAACTCGTGTATAAAAAGCCCCCGTTTTCATTTCCCTTATATAGTATAAGTGTGTAATTAGCATTATCCTGCTGAATTGATATACACAGTAGAAAAATTCTTAGATCAGCAGGTTTTTTTCAACCTGAAAGATCATACCCTAGTTCCATCCCTTATTAGACAGTGGTTTTGTGAAATCCATTCAGACATGAGCGTAATGTTAAGGAGAAAAAGATGGAGAGCTGATACCTTACCAGGAATATCAGTGGAAAAATACTAGAGACTCTCAGTGCAAGGGCTTCCAGCAAAATGGAAATACAGTTCCTTGAGCTCCTGCATTAACTTTTTTATGCCTATTATACAACAAGGTTAAATATATGTGCTTGTGAACTTCCAATTTAAACACAGTTTGCATTAATCTTTACACATCCATTCAATCATATTAAAATATTATTCCATAATAAATTACTTTCAGAAATTAAAAATGTAAAGGAACATTTAATTTCCAGACTACTGTTATTCTAAATGTCATGACCTTTTTTTTTATACGCTTGTGAATGAATTTGGCAGCAGCATCAAAGGAAAGCAGTCTAAGTGTATGTGCTCGGAGGTAACAATTGACTGCAGTGTCTGAGTCATTTTTCCCTATTCTTCCACTGTGCTCCTTCTAAAACAACTCCACTTAGAAAATGAAATTCAGGGCTAATAATTAATAGTGCACCTTGTTTTACAGTAGTAACTGTTATTACAGAGGAGTTAATAAAATAACACAAGATGGAAGAAAAACTGCGCCAGGCTGATTATCTTTAATGACAAATACCCAGGATATAGCTCTGCGCTATAAACTTAAATCCTTGAAGAGACAGCAGAACCATACGCTTCATTTTTTTAAATTGAATTTTACTTGGTCCTCTGAGAGTTGGAGCAGTCCTGGTTCTATTGAATTACTAATGGAATATTTCAAAAGTGTGAGCCAGTACAAATGCTTTCTCCCTCCTTCTTTCTCAGGCCCATTTAGACCTCTGACGTTTATCAAAACATGAGCAGTGCTTCATTATTCACAACCACGTTAAACCTTACAATATACATCTATGATCACCACTAATTTCCGACTCAGTTACCTAGAGAGAGAGGTTCATTTGTACTCTGCACTGAAGTTTACTGCCCTTTCAGAGAGCACTTTCCATGTTGTCTAACACTATGAAATGAATATAGGCAATATTTTAGCAAAATAAGTAGATACAGTTCTTAGTGCCACCCGTGTTGACAGCTTTTACTTAAGATGTT